AACTTTATAAAATCACAAGATAGGATATACCACATCTAAAAATACACATGAAATACACAAACTTGCTTTGAGAGCAGTGGGCTGGCTTTGTTGATGGTACATTTTTAGACTGTGAGCGGTGTCCTGGAGAAACAATTCACAAACAACTTTTTTCCCCTTCATCTTGCTCCATTGAAGTTCAGTGTGGTCAAATATAATGTAGTGGGAAGGGCGGGGAGAAAAGGGAAATCCCTTGCACAATCTCCTATTGACATCAAAAATACCTCTGGTTATTTGCTGATGTTACTTCAGTCCATGAAAGAGGAAGAGTTCTGGTTGGTCGACTGAGAAATGAGATTGGCTTTATTCAAACTGGTTTTATTTTATTTTATTATATTATTTTTTTTTTCCTGGAGTTATAACTGAATTGGTAGGTTTTGAATCCCGCTTGCATTGGGCATGGGTCATCATCTCCTTTCAGCTTTGAGGCTTTAGGCAGTTCATGTCTGGAAGAACAAGCTGTGCCTGCACCCAGCGTTGCATTTCCAGAAATTGAATTTCAGGACAAACAAGGCCAGGTGGTCAATCTAAGAGTAACTTTTCTTAGTAGATGCTTGTGCTGTTTCAGAAAGTAGAATAATAGTGCTATTTTGTCTTCACCAACTTAATTTTATATCACTGGTAATACATACAGCCTGGTTTTGAATGCTTTTCGGTTGTCTTTTTGTGCATCTATATTTGATTCCATAGTCAGAGTTTCTAAGAATATGATTAACCCTGTGGGTCATCTTATAATGTAATTATTAATGATTGATTCTGTTTATCCTTGAAATCAATATAAGAAGCAAAATGGTTTGGCATATATTTGGGGTTGATTTCGAACGTTCAGTAAACATGATCTTGTGACAAGACTGGTATACGTTTATTACACAGAACATGTTTGATGAATCTGAAGTGTGTAATTAGTTTTATATAATGATGGTGATATGTGGTGTTTTTACATGACTTATGTTAATATGGCCAATAGTGTTAACATCTCCTGCCACTAATAGTTAGGGTGGGGATGTATAGTAATTGATCTTCCTGGGAGTGCTGTAATGTAAAAACAATTCAGGCTGTTTGAAGTATATTTTACAAGTGTGCATTGGGCCTTTGGGATGTTATACTGAAAAACCCAATTGTACAGTTACCATGGGAACCCAATTAGAATAGATTGCTTGAGTTTTTTTCAGTCTTTCATCTTGACCAAAAATCTAATGTACTTTAAATGTTTTCATATGGAATTTTATTCATATACTGACTTGATATATTAGCTGTTTTTAAATTTTAGTGCTAAAACCAGAGAGTATTAAGTTTTGCAGATCCTGAAGACTTCTCTTTCAAGGAGAATCTTCCTTTAATATTTAAAAGTTGGTGAACTGAGAAAAATACTTTTTATGAATCATAATGCTGCCACCACACGTACTTTTCAGGCTGGAATTCTGCGAAAGTAAATAAGAAAACATCCTAAATCCCAAGGACTTCCATTCTAACCCATCAACACCATATAGCTGAAGTGTTTCATGGCCCTTAAAGGATCTGTTTTTTGAGATAAGCTCTGATTCTTCTTTACATTTCTGTTAATGGATTTCAAGGTGTGGGATGCTCGCACTGTGGGTCTACAATATATTGACTCCCTGTACCATGTCACTTCCTCCCATGGAGGAGCTCATACCAGCACCTGAAGACATTTGTTCATCTTCCCGGTGGCTCAGGAACATCCTGCTGCTGCTTGTCAGCGTGGCTACAGCCTTGTGGGAACAGAAGTTCTGGAAAATTTGGGCAGTTCCCAACCAAAAGGCCAAGGGGGTGTGAAGGAGGAGCTCGTTGGTCCCAGTCAGGCAGCTCTGAGCTAGCCAGTGAGGATGGGGACAAATTTTGCCTTTCTTCAGTTCTGCTTATTAATTGATCCCTTCAGTTCATCTGTAGATGGAGGAGGAGATTACCACGTTGGTGGAGTGGTGGATGACAGTATGGGTCCTGTCTTCAAGGCAAGTTCAGTGATTCTGGCATCTCATTTTTTGGTACGTGAGCCAGGATGGGGTGTCATGGTTGAATTTGAGAAGTTATTCCTGTGCCGTTCAGAAGAGGTACCAGCTTCATTGCCTTGGAATCAGCCTCAGGGCTGCCTTCAACTAAATTTGAAAAGATGTTAGTGCATTGCTCGGCCTCTTGTACCAAAGACAGCATCTTTGCAGGGTTGGTGAGATACATTTTGGAGTGATGTTTTGAACTTCCCCAGCCTTGTGAAGTTTAGGAATGGTCTTGTGTGGTTTTCCCCTCGGTAGCTGCAGGCCTGCTTCGTGATCACCGTGTCTTTTGCGTTACAGCTGTGTTAGCCCCAGCCACCTGTCAGCAGAAGGAACCATCCTGGACAAGCAGACACTTGCACAGCGCAACCTGGGGCAGAAAGAGGCCATGAACAGTAATCAATCACCAGCCCTCCTTAGGCACCGTGCAGCTTCTTCTTGCTTAATTGGTTCATTTGTCCTTCTCAGCCACCCACCTCCCCAGGGGCTCAGGGTTTTTCCAGCCTTCCCCCAGTGCCTCGCCTGCTTCTCAGAACTTAGCAGGGCGCGGGTGGCTGTGGTGCTTGTAGGGTACTCGGGTGAGGCCTGGTGGACGGATCCATGTCCTTCAAGCTTTTTATTCTCAGATGCAGCAGGTCAAAAATACCATTTTCGGGACCGCCGGGGAGGGGGCAGCGCTCTGGCTTAGGGGGAGCATGGCTGGCGGCAGAGCAGTCGTGGAGGACGAGGCCTGTCTTGGTGTGCAAATATTCCACACTAGCCTGGCGAAATAATTGGGTGTTCTGGTGCTTGTTATGTCCTTAACACGATTCAGAAGTTAAACTAGCTGAAGGATAATTTTGATACCCTAGCGTTTTGTGATTTATAGATGAGAGCTCGCACTTGATGTCATTGCCTCTCAGTTACTGATTATTTTTGTTCGGGTGCTGCCTGATGCATTGGTTTTATTCAGACTCACACTGGAGTGTTTACCTTGCAGTTGCTTTACAAGCATAATTTCCTACATGCAGCACATAACCAGGTGGTATAAGAGGTGCTTTGCAGAGTGCAGTGCAATGCTTCCAGCCGCACTTCCTTGCTGTGGGGTGAGGAAGAAAACCTATAATCATCTTTGAGGGAGTTTCAGAAGAGATCAGTATTTAGGTTTGGGGTTAGCTCCAAATTTTCCTGCTTTTCCATCATGTAAAATGGTAAAACGCATCTTTGGGAGTTCCTCACATTACTTTCAGATGGATCGAAGCATCTTGATTTTTCAAAAGAAAAAAATAATACAGTCAGTGAAAAATCGTGGGGTTCCCCAAAATGTGTTGAGGCAAAGAGGATCTGTCTGTACTTCTGCAGCCTGTCCCCTTTCCTTTGTTATCTTTCCCTCTTACTTTTTGTGATAATTTGTAATCTGGGGCTCCAGCCGTCCTTCCTTGGTATCAGAGGAATAAATGAATGAATGAATGAATGACTGCATGCCTTCTGACTGCTGGGCTGCTCTGAAATGTGCAGCTCCACAGGAGGCTAGCACAGGGTGTATGTGATGCTTAAGTAACTGTTAAACGGTAATTATTAAACATTTGGTGCAAGTGAAGCAAAAGTGCATGGTACAAATATGTCCAGACCTTACTGAGGTGTGGAGGCTGGTGTTTGGGAGGAAGACATGGGGCTCCCCACTCCTGCTGAGAGGCGGCTTGAAGCCTCCCTCAGGTGGCCAGCCTCCATGCCTTGGTATTGGGCCCAGGGGCAGGCCGCAGGCACCACGGGGTGCTTCTAGCCCAGACCTGGCCATCTCGGCAGCTCCTCTGCTCCCTGGCCTTCTTGTGAAGTTCAGGAAGGTCCTAGGGGGTTACCTGTCCTGAATGTGAGGCTCAGTGGAGGGGCTGCATGCTTCTAACTGAGGCCTGTTTTATGCACCGTGCTCCGATTAACATGGCGTAGCCCCCAGGCTGGTCTCTGCGCTTGGCCATCCCTGCCAATTTTTTACTTCAGATGACAGCATTTGGGTTGATACACCCCAAACATCACATTTGGCTTAATTTGTAGGAAGAATGCGGTGTTGGGAGATTTATCTCGAGATGAATATCTCCAAATTGCAGTGTATTTTTTTTAGCTGAATTGAGTCCCTGGGTTGTTACCAGCAGGAATCAGAAGGGGTTTGGTAAACTCTCAGCCTGATGCTCTTGGTCAGCTATTCAGGGAGAGGACTGGCAATTCAATGCCGCAGAGCAGCAGTGCTGTCCCCAGGGTGCTGCAGCGCCGGCAGGACTCCCGTGTCCAGGAGAACGCCAGGAGGACAGGCGGCCAGAAAGTCGTGGTGTCTCTGTGTGAGGCTGGCTTCCTTTGCTGGATTCACACACTGCTGCTCTTGGTACTTTGAGCCAGATTAGAGAACAGTTTCTGGGTAAATCTGCTTTTCGAGGCTAATTTTCTAGCTTCACCCTTCAGGAAAATCTGAAAAAGCTGAGTGTTGCTTTGTCCTTTGAAAGTTCGAGTTTGGGACTGACAATAGAAATAAATTGCTATTTTATTGTTAGCTCTATCACAGATGCCTTAAGTAATTTTAGTAGATTGCTTGCCTGCCTGACTGATTCACAGTTAGACATGGAATTAGTGATTTTTACAATCCCCACCTTGCAAGGCTATGATTTTTAGTATATTTAAAATATAATCTGGGATCTTAATTTTAAACTTTTAAAATAATTAAGATGTAGCGTTAAGATTAGGTATTACAGTTTTCTTGTAAGTAGTCTGGAGGGGGCTTTAAGTTTGTTCCTGTCGTGGACGCTGAGGCTTGGAATGCTTCAAAGTGCTCGGAAAGCCTCAGCCATCAGTGTCACGTCTTTGTTTGTCATGGGCAGGTACAGTTAATCTCCCGGTCCTGTATTGAGTTCCCTGCCTGAAGTGGAGGAGTTCCCTTTGAACTCTGTCTGTAAGTCAGGACTCTGAGCTTTGGCAGTCTCCTTGCTTTTCAAAAACGGAATGCTTATTGCAAATCTTTGCAGAGGTACAGTGATCCTAACTAAATAGCACTGAAAAGAAAATAAAGGAGAAAAACTAAATGCCAAGGAAATAAGAATTTCTTTTATTTCAAAGAAAAGCTCTTTGTTGTTGTTTTTGTGGTGTATAAATGATTTTGCTATTTCATACTCCAGTGCTAATAATTGAAGTTAACATTTCTTATGTACTTCTTAGTGTTTTGCAAACTGTACTTTCAAACCCAGAATATAAGTATGTAAGTTGTTTGCTTTCATTTCTTAAAACGTGTCATTTCCTACAATATAAAAGGTTGTTTATTTCACTAAATAACTCAGAAGTGCATTACTGCCAGTACAAGAATTTCTTAAATTAATAGTGAGTCTTAGAGAGCGTTCTTATTTGAAAGATCAAAGTTTTGTAGTGCTTGTTATTGAAAGAAGTCTTCAGTGTGTCATCTGTCGATTTTGACTCTTAACAAGCAAAGCTGACCTAAAGAACATTAAAATTCCTGGTTGTTTGGGGAAAAAAAAAAAAGCATACTCCCTTTTGATATTATTTACACTGAAAAAATAGAGCCTAGTTAAAAACTGATACAAAGCTAGTTATAAGAAAAACGATCAAATTGACATGCTAGTCTTCCTTGGTATTCAAAATAAATTTCAATCTAACTGAAATTTTATTTTTTTTTCCTTACAGATAGAGATCTTTCATCTAGCATGGCATCGAGGCGTGTTCCAAAAGTAAGTTTCTGGTAAAATAGCCTTGCATTTAGGTGTACATTAGGAGTCCAGCATTACAAAAGAGTTCACGTAACATAGTTTGTTTTTTCCCCAGTGTCCAGCAGTCAGTATTAAGGATTCAGTTGACAAGATTGATGCTGCATTGTAAATCTCTGTAGCTCTGTCATGGTTGGTAACAGGCATCAGTGGACCTTTCCTCATCACGTATCTATCTTCCACAGAGCGGAAACTAATAGGACAATGCTACAATTTCAGTTTTAAGTTAGCTGTTTGCTTCCATTTCCTAATAGAAATTTCGTTTATGAAAAATATGGAAAATAAATGCATGCTTAATTTGGGGGCTTAATGCTTCAGTGAGGTACATGTAGAGAAATAACTGTTTGTAGTAAAATAAGAGTGTATGGCTGTTTATCAAGAAATTCAGAATTATTTTCCTTACTGAAACACAGGCACCAACAAATTTATACTCAATAGCCATAGTCTTCAAATAATTGAAATGAACTTTGAAAATACTAATACTTTTTTTTTTTTTTTTTCCCTGTGGAATAGCTACTTTTGTAACATTAGTAATGCTCTTCTAGGAAAGTATTTTTAGTACAATCAAACTTGCATGTCTAACTATTCCTGCTGGCAACTTCTATCACTATTAAAAATGTCTTAATAGTGGTATCTCTTGTGTTTTTAATCTGCTTCGTGTAACATAATGTGGCTTAGAAAAGCAGTATTTTGGCATATTTTGTCTTTTCATTCATTTGTAGAAGATTTTCTTTCTCTTTTCCCTAAAGGATTTTTTTTTAATAGAATGGTTGAGGGAGAAATTAAATTATTGTGGGAAAATAAATTATTGTTTCACTTTTTCTTTTTAACAATCTTCTCTGTGCTTGTATTTGTGCTATGTACCTTCTAGTTGCAAACATTTTATAGCAGGTACCTTGAATAATTGCAGAGAAATACTTGAATATCTTGTGAACAACCAGGCACATGTGGAAGAGCTGCTAGTTCCCTCTCATTCAAAGCTAGGTGTGATATAGCTGGCAAGTGACATGAAACTAATAATTTATTATCTAACCTTTTCATTTCTCCCACTCTCACTTCTAGTTGAAAGGTGCAGTGTTAGCTGTGAGGGGAGCTTTCCCTTTTTGATATGTGGAAAGGCAGAAGGTTTAAGGTAAAATGTGAACTCTCGCAGCCCCATCTACAATGGGGACCGCAGGAGGAGTGCACACATAGCCACTGCTCCTTGACTCTCTGCTGCTGTTCCCCCCTTTCCATTCTGGATGCATATTAATATATGTAATGGAGCTCAGGTTTCCTTAGAATAGTGATATTTATAGTGTATGATTAGTGTACAGTTTTACAGTGAGCACAGCCACACGTTGGTGTGACACAATACATACCCAGCTCGTGTGTTTTGCAGAAATCAATAGTCACTGACATAACATGCTGACCAGTTTTTAAGCAGGGTGCTGAAAAATGGTTTCTAGAAGCAGCCAGATGTGGACATTCTCCACAGCTGCTGGTTTTGTCTCTCGCTTGATCCCTGATTCTGTAGCTGTGTTGCGGTGACCAAGGATGTATGTTGGGCTTGAGGAAGAGGCTGAGATGTGACCATAGTTATGTGCATACATCAGAAATGTATGTTTAGGAATTTGGGGGTTTTATGGTCTTCTTATGACAGACAATGTGGCTTTTTTTCTATTTCATGAGATTTAATTCTAAATGTAGTTCAGTTCTCTGGATATTTTGTAGTTATTACATTTAAACTTGATAAACAAATTCTTTTACTAACTGTAATGCTTTGTTCTCTGTTCTCAATATAGTGAAACACTTGTCCTGAATCAAACTGAAATTGGTAATGACAGGAAAATTCAGACTTTGTATGACAAGACTATAATGCTGTATTTTTGTATGAGTTTTTTTGACACCTGTCTTTTGTGTGTATATATTTTTCTGTACATGTATTTGTATTTTTAGTGAATTCTTAATACACAGATCACTGCTTCATTTATGCTTCAAGCTGTTCTACTCACTTTAAAAATTCCAATGAAATTCTTTTCTTGAACACAATTCAGATTCCTGACTCTCCTTTAGCCTAAAAAGGAACACTATTAATGGTTTTGTTCATATTGCCTGGATTTATTCTGTTATTATTCTCTAGCTCCTGCTTTTCAGGTATAGCTATTTTGGTATTATAAAGAATGATGGATTATGTAGGAAAGTTTCTTTTGAAGCACTCCTGATATTGTGCAATGCACTTGGGGGTCAGCTACACTTGACTGATGCATGATTTATCCGATGTCCCTGCCACTTTCTGAGATAAAGCTGCTATTTTATCAAAAATGCCAGCAAGTGTGATTTAGAATTTATACACCTCCTTTTTTCAAATAATTGTTCTGATTACTCTCTGGCATGGCAATAAAATGATAAAGGTAATTGCACACGAATGTGAGATAGCACCAAAATACAATAAAATTAACCTGAATTAGCTTGACTTGTCGATGAGAAGTATTTATGAAATGTATTTTTGCAATAAGGGAGACTGATATTATAGCTGGAAGGTGAGTTATTGCCTTAATGTAATACAGTTTGAAATTTAAAAAAGAGACTGTTACAGTTGAGGGTGATTGTGCCTTTGAAATTAAGTTGAAGTGATTCTTATAATTGGCAGCAATAATGCATTGTGAAGGTAATATCTTTTATTGTGTTATGCCTAGTTGCATTATCTTTTATTTAGCTGGTCCTGACTTCAGCTCTGCAGAGAACGCAAGAAGGAGCAGATCAAGAATTTTGTGGGTTTAGGTGATAAAAATTTGAAATGTTACCTTATATTAAAGTCATTCTTGTGCTAGATTTTTTCATTTTTTAGTCCATTTTCAATTCCGATGAACCTGATACAGGTCTCATTTGATTAAACTTTCATCTCTTTTCCTTGTATTAGCGTAGCTGCCTTATATTTACATACACAGCTGAACCATGTAACAGGAGTGCACTTAGTCGTTCTGTGTGTATGCATGCATATAGATCGGGTGCTAATTTTATTAGCTAAATTTTGTATTTCCTTAATGTCTCAAAGTATGACCACCTCTTATTAGAAAGAGCACATAGAGACACTTGTACCCTCAGTACTTTGGTAATTACAGAATAGATTGTAAAATGTTGACTAACATATTGAGTTTCTTATTTTTTAATTGATGAACACTTCTGCAAAATCCAGAGAACTGCATGATGTCTAGTTCTCCTTTGTGTGAGACTTCTTAAAAACTCAAACCAGTAACAACTAGGGATCAGTTGTGGGGACCTTCTAATTCTTCATCATATTCTTCATCTTTGATGTTTTATTATGATATTTGTTTCTTCACCTGTTTGGCAACAGATTCCTTTATTTTTAGTGGTTTATGCCATGTGATTGCATGTTAAAACAGTGAACAACTGAACAAAGTATAACTTTGCTTGTAGTGCATTGCCCAGTACTTCTAATTGAATCTTCTGGCATGTGATTCCCAATCTAAAAATAAGAGGGGCTTAATCCATCTGTAGGTCATCAGTATGGTAAGAATAACAACATGCTTCCACATCCCATGGCAGATACAGCGAGTAGTGTGGCTTACAAAGGGATTGCTGGTGGGATTTACAGGTCCTATCAAACCACCAGGAATGTATACAATTACGGCTTCTGTCTTTGCTATTTGTGGTATAGTTTGCTTATTGCTGAAATATCTTGCCCTGAGCTGTCTTTCTTTTTTCTTTTTTTTTTTCCCAATTTTCATGCCACTCCATTTCTTGTCCACTTCTACTCCGGTTCATTGTATTATCTCACCACCCACCATTTCAAAAACATATCCTAAAGTAGCTGGGAGTCTCCAAACTTAAGGCAGGTTGTTTATTTCCATTTTCTTTCTAGGTACAGAGATGCTTGGTGTTGTCATGACTCAAGCTTGAAACCTGGATGTCAACCCACTGTAACTTCTGATGTGTATAGTTTACTTACATCATACTTTTGGATTTGAATTCTGCGTGTAGAAATCTGACTTATTTTCAAAATATTCATCTTAGCTTCATGCTACTAATATAAAATGACATAAAAATTCTATAGTACATGTGTTTTAAACTACATTATCACAGCAGTGGCTGCTGCACATTCGTAGCATTGAAGTTTCTTATGTAAGTAAGAGCTAGGGGAGGATACAGAAAGTGCTTGTTTACTTTCAGGGGGGAGAGATTCAGGAAAAGGCTTCAGTACATACTTGTAGGAAATAGTACAGCCGAATTCCTGTTTAAACAGTCCATTAAGGTCTTGTGTTTAAGTATCTCCTGATACTAATGTCTCACAGCTTGGCATGTGAACAATAGATGAAGTAGAAAAATGTGCTAACTGAACGTTGCCTGGAATACGATAGCAATGACCCACCTGCCTCTTCTAAAGGAGAGGAATTAATTCTATTGCAATTAAAATATCATCCTTTAAGTAAAATAAAGATGTCTGAGGTAGCCATGGTAAGTACACTGGGAACTTGCCATTTGACAAACCAGTGTAACTCCTCTCTGCCAAAACAGCCGACTGAAGACTTAGCCAAAGAGCCAGAGGCTACTGCTGCTTGGAAATGCACTTTTATAGCTTGGCATTTCGGGGTCTTTTGATTGCCATCCAAAGAGGATTAGTAATATAATACGATGGGACAACAGAAATTTGCTCTTGTTGCCTTTGATTGTTTAATAAAGAATTATGTGTTTGCTCTTGTCGAATACTTTTTAAATGCTGTAGGAAGCAAACGTTGCTGTCTGGGCACACGAATGTGTTTCCCTCTGTTTTGTCAGGGGCTTGTGTGCAGTACATTTTCTAATAAGTCAAGAGTGATTCACTTCGTCAGGGGTGATTTTTAGTGGCTACTGTGCCACTACTAAATATAGGCTTGTATAAGGTCAAACTGTGCAGTTTAACTCAGTACCTTAATATTTTTTTTTATGGGATTGGTTCTCTGGAAGGTAAAGAACTTGTTACA